TTTCATTTTTGGGTGAACTATTCCTTTAATGAATGCATTAAAAAACATTGTTAGTTCATGATACCCAATGCATTAGGTAGGTGTTACTGAAGTTACTGAAAACACTTTTTAAAAGTCTGCTTCAATCTGACAAATATCATTAAATAATAATAATAATTAGAATAATTAGAAACATAAGCAGGCCTTAAAGCAAAGCAAAGGGACAGCATCAAGAAAATGAATTAAAAACTATCAAATTAAAAAATAAACAATCAGCCATCAAAACAAACTCACTTGCCATTACAAAAGAACATTTTGTACAAATGTGAAGTTTATTCTTTAAAGAAGTGAATAATATATAAACTATTGTCTATAAATATAAAGGGTTTTTGATAGTATCACAAGCAGAAGTATGAGAAAGAAGAAAATAACAGATGTCACCGGTGTAGAAAACTCTAATACAGGCTTCAATGCTAGTGTGATTTAATACATCTCCGATCCATGCAAACGCATCTCACAAGAACAGGAGTTTAAGAGCAGGCCTCTATCTACCAGTGCTTTCTGTAATCACCTTAAACAAAGATTCCTTTGCGAAAACAAAAACATTCATTTGCATGAGATAATCACCATAAACAATCAAGAATCAACATTATTTGATGTTCAGTAAAGAACATTTTTTTTAAAAAGCACATAATGACACAACAAACCCTGAAGAATTATGAACAGGATGATGTGAATTACGCTTACGTAGTGCTTGAGCGATGTGGGGGTTTTAATAGATGATGTTGATACCGATAACCAGAGCGCATACTAATATGCAACCGATACAACTTAAAAATCAGTTAAAAATATCTGAAAACAAATTGCATTGTCCATTAACAGACCTGCTGGTAGATTTTGGAAATGATACACAAGACAAGTTGACATGATTATCGCTGATCATCTCAAAAGGGCAAAATATCGGCCGATATATCGGTTTACCGCAACACAAAACTCTGCATCCCAATTTTCACATCATGTTCGTGGATTAGTTACATTACTAACATGGGCATTAAACTATTTGATCGATGTGGGGTTTTTAATAGCTGATGTTAATACTGATAACCAGAGTGCAGACTGATATACAACCGATATTACTTAATAATCAATAAAATGATCTGAAAACAAATTGCATTATTGATCAAGAGGCCTGCTGGCAGATTTTGGAAAGGATACACAGGATGAGCATTCGTGATTATCGCTGCTGATCATCTCTAAAAGGGCAAATATCAGCCGATATATCGGTTTACCACTACACGAAAGTATACATTCTAATTTTCACATCATGTTCATTAATTAGTTACATGGGCATTAAACTATTCAAGTGATGTGGGGTTTTTAATAGCTGATGTTGATACCGATGACCAGAGCGCAGACTGATATACAACCGATATGACTTAAAAATCAATACAATTATTTGAAAACAAATTGCATTATTGATCAAGAGGCCTGCTGGTAGATTTTGGAAATGATACACAGGATGAGCATTCATGATTATCACTGCTGATCATCTCAAAAGGACCAAATATCGGCCGATATATCGGTTTATCGCTACATATATGCATCCCAATTTTCACATCATGGATTAGTTACGATACCAACACAGACATTAAACTATTTGAGAAGTGCATTGCAAACACCGTCCATCCTGTTCTAGCTGTATGTTTAGAGGTACTTCTGTGCAAAAGAGCCAAAGGAGAACACAAACCCTTCAGAAACATCACCAAAGTTAAGTACAGCCTGAAGAAGAACAATGTATACATTTCTTGGAGTTAAACACAAGTGCAGGCCTGACCCCAATGCTGCTCCGAACTGAAAAAGGCACTTAACTGTACATCTTAAAACAAGCCTGAGACTGCTGCTGTCCAAGCCCAGGCCAGGAGACCAGCAACCCGCTTTAGGGTGGGTTAAGCACATATCAACCATGGGTACTCACTGTTTTTGTTCTAGCTCCTAGTCTCAGCCTCCATAAAACATTCCAGTCCTATAATTCATCTGATCTCAGACCTAAAGCTTTCATTTAAAGCTCAATTCTTCCCATGAAGTACTGGGTGCACAATTCACACACATTATCATTATTTCTGCATTATTTGCATGTAAAAAGTTTGAATATTTGCCCATGGAAATACTGATGTCGATAAAAAGACACAGTTTTACATACAAGCTTAAAAAACAGATCCCCACCCAGAATAATCCAAGAGAAAAGGCATAAATAATCTCCAAAACGTTAAGGTTTGTCCAACAAAAGCTCCTTTGATTAAAAAAAAACGAACATCCAAGAAATCCAAGTGAGATTTAAATACAAATATATACTTACAAAAAAATCACAATGTTTATGTACAACGCGAAGGGCGTCTCTTTAAACAGTTGCTGTTGTTTTTTCCATCAGAAAAAGTGACAAATAAAAAAGCAGTTAAGTCACACTGTTGTTTCTCCTTGTTTGCTGTTCGCCAGTCTCGTGTAAAACTTTCTCCACGAGTTAAGAGTCTTTCCAGACCATATCCAGAATCCAGACGTGATGCCCACGATCAGGGTCATCAGGTACTTGATCATGAACACCGTGAAATCCGGGTTCATCTGCGGGTTGTGCACGGGGCACGGCACCGCGTACGTCTTGCACGTTTGAGCGCTCCACGTCTGTTCCCACTGATCCCGAAAGGCCTGCTCGTAGAAGTAACACGCGATCACGATGGTGGCTGGAACCGTGTAGAGGACGCTGAAGATGCCGATGCGCACCATCAGCTTCTCCAGCTTCTCCGTTTTGGTGCCGTCGTGCTTCATAATGGTCCTGATGCGGAACAGAGACACGAAGCCCGCCAGGAGGAACGAGGTGCCGATGAACAGGTAGACGAACAGCGGCGCCAGGACGAATCCGCGCAACGCGTCCACGCTGTTGATGCCCACGAAGCAGACGCCGCTGAGCACATCTCCATCCACTTGACCCACCGCGAGGATGGTGATGGTCTTGACGGCTGGCACCGCCCACGCTGCGAGATGGAAATATTGCGAATTTGCTTCAATGGCCTCGTGACCCCATTTCATCCCGGCCGAGAGGAACCAAGTGAGCGCTAGAATGACCCACCAGATGGAGCTGGCCATGCTGAAGAAGTACAGCATCATGAACAGGATGGTGCAGCCTTCCTTTTTGGTGCCTTGAACCACCGTCCTGAACTCATTATCGAACTGCTCATTGCAAACCACTTTGTCTTCCAGCAGAAATCCGGCGATGTAGGCGACGGACAGCATCGTATAACACCCGGAAAGGAATATAATGGGTCTTTCCGGGTAACTAAAGCGATTCATGTCCACTAAATAAGTCAAGACGGTGAATAAAGTAGACGCGCAACACAAAACCGACCAGATCCCGATCCAAATCCGCGCAAACTTCTGTTCGTCCTCGCTGAAGTACATCACCCCGTGCAGTTTTTTGGGTTCGCACGGTGCGCCGCAGTTTTCCTCGCCTAGAAAGCGGTAGTTTAGGTACGGCGGGACTTTCAGCGAAGCCGGGCATTTAAAACGGCCCTTCCTGTGATGCTCGGGTGTCGCTTGGGTCACATCTGGAGTCGGGTTGACCGGTGCGCTCTGCTCAGACGTGTTCTGCCCCACGCACAGCTCTCCGCCGTGCACCGGGAACGACTCGCACGCGAGACTCTCCGGCCACTGGAAGCCGAATTTGTTCATGAGCGCCTCGCAGCCCTGACGCGCACGCTCGCACAGCGAACGGCACGGCGGCAGCGCCTGCTCCAGCACCGTGCAAACCGGCGCGTACATGGAGCACAAGAAGAACTTGAGGTCCGGCGAGCATCGCACTTTAACGAGCGGGTAGAACTGGTGCACCTCCAGCCCCGCGTCCTCCTGGTTCGTGTGGCCGAGGAGGTTGGGCATGATGGTCTCGTTGTACGCGATGTCCGTGCACAGAGGGATGGTGATGGGCTGGCAGAAGCCGTGCTCGGGAACCGACATGCCGCGCTCTCCGTACTGCGCGCTCGCTCCCAGTATTGCAAAGGCGAGCAGGAAGAGCGCGGACGCACCGCACGCGGCCATACTTCTCTTCTGCGGTCTGTCTCCTCTCACAGCCAGCTCGCCCGCCAGCGCTCTTCCTCCCCTCCAACTCCCTCGGGCGATTTATCCTGTCAAGTCGGTGTCCAGAAACTTTTAGGAGAGCGCAGCGGCGCCCCGGACGCTGCTCAGCGGATCAAACGCGTAAAGAAAACCCACACGAGTGTCTGGTTGAGACGAATAAAGAGTCGCGCTGTATCGTGTCAGAGTTTCTGTGAGCTGTTCAAACTTGTTTCCAGGCGCCCCGCTGTCTGCTGTTCATAAGCGAAACGCGGGCGGGGCGTCACGGACAGATGGCTCGCGTTAGGGAGCGTCTGGATTTCGTTCGCCTGCGGTTCACGCTCTTTTAACGTTCACTCTTCGAGTTTATAGAGTTATCTGCTGACTTTACAGATCAGAATAATAAGTAAAAGAGCAGACACCGGGTGTCGGGGTTTCTTTTGCCTGAAGTTTGATTTTTTTGCGTTCTTTAAACGTTCGTTCTTAGACTTTATGGGGTTGTTGAATGGAATGCATTTTATCTGATAACTCTACCAATATATTTAGCATTGTTTTCACCAGTATAAATTCAGAATGGAGTTCTGAATAAGTCAATGCTTGCATATAATGTAAAAATACGGTAAACAGAAATGATGAACTAATATTAGCTTCAAATTTTCATTCAAACACTTTAATAAAATAAAAGGAAGAATAACTATCTGAGAAATCATTTAACCATTTGATGCACGAATCTTTCTTTTAACAACAATATTATTATCATCATCATCATCATCAAATGAATGTTTTTAGAAAGAATTGCACATCTGTAATTATTCCAGAGGTATGATGCATGAAACATTTTTTAAATGTTTTTTCTTTTATTCTTCTTATTATTATCATCATCATGAAATGTAATCTTTTGGAAAGGATTGCACATTTGTCCACTGTAAAATAAGACAGACGTATATATTTTACAGGTAGGTGATCACCACCATGGTAAATTTATTTTGCAATGTATATGAACACAATGTCATAAAAAGTAGAGTCATTTAGAATTATGGGTAAGTGACAAAGGTGATTTAGATATAGAATCACACCATGAATGGTTAAAATGCCTTAAAGATCTCTCCAGAAGTTTAAAACAATTCATCAAATCTGCTAAATATCACTGAACAAATCTGCTTGCTGTGCAAAAAAACAGAGACGGTCCCTAACGTGCAGCCCTTCCTATTGGTTACTGTGAGTGTCTGTAGGAGAAATGAGAGGAACATGATTTGCTCTGACAGGAGAATGTAAAGACAGCCTTCACTAAGAGTCTGGATACTGGCTGAATACAAAACAACTTCTGCCTGAGTCAAGATTTCATTCAGCCATTTTCCATTTGGTCTTATTTTGCAATATTTTTTGATAAACAAACATGAAATGTTCTACCAGTTCAGCCACTCATACTGGACTTTCAACTGGAGAGTAAATAAACCAATATATTGTATTTTAAATGTGTAGAATTCGAAATCACTTTAGACAGGACATATAAACTTTTCTTTTTTTCAACTTAACAGTCAGTCTAATCTAGATGCTAAAACAAGGTTGCAAAGGTCTGAATAATCCTGGAACAGACTGGACTGGCCAAACCAGAAAGAGATGACGTGCAAAACATGCATGTAAACTCACTAATAATGTGTCATTTAGGGTAACCATTAACCATTATGTAAACTGAAATCGCCCAGATTTGTCTTAAAAATAAAGGTTGCAAAAGTTTTTTTTTTACTTTTTTACCACGTTTGGTTCCTCAAAGAACTTTTCAGTAAACAGTTCTTAAAAGAACCCTTGTGAAGAAAATTTTTCTGATCTAAAGAGCCTTTTTCCTCTATAAAGAACCTTTATAAAGAATTGATTGCACAAAACCATCGATGCCAATAACGAACCTTTATTTTTTAAGAGCATACAGAAGCAAAAATCATTACTTTTTAATCTCAGTTTGTGAATACAGTTCAATATTAGTTACATGCTATTGCCAACTTCTCTTGAAATCAGTGCAGAGTAGAGCCCGACCGATATGAGTTTTTT